CCATCTTGCCTCTCGTGTACTGCAGTGGGTCCCAGGGTCAGCGTCTGATCTGCAGCGCTGCGGGAAGGGACAAAGCTCTCAGGCTGGAAGGGCCCTCCATAATTGGCCTAAGTTGGGGCAGTAGGGCTGAGCCCAAAGCCCCTACATCCATCTGTCGCTGGAGGTGGGGCTGCTCTGGAAGAGAGCAGGACCCTGGGCAGAGCCGCCATCCTCAGAGGAGGTGATCCTTCTGACTGGCCTCTGAGAGCTGCTTCCTGGTACCTGTGCTGCCTGCAGCTGAGGGATGCACTCCGGGATCCTGGAGAGTGGTCTGGGAGGTCCCGTTCAGATCTGCTTCTCAGGTGTGTACTGGGAGCAAAAACTCCAGCGCTCCAGGGGGTCTCACTTCCTGGGATAAACTGAACAAGGGTTTATCTGCCTAAGGACTCATCGTCCCCTCCTGTTCTGTCCTTTGTAGGTTCCCCTAACCCTCATTTGGTGCCTCCACTGGTCTCAGTGGCTTGCCTGGATACTATTACCCTGACCTTCATCGTGGAGAGGTCAGCATCCCCTTCCTGGGTCTTGCCTGCTGTACTTTTCCACGTAACCAACACAGGGCCGGAGAGCAGCAAGAGAAGGCCACGCAGAACCTGACACCGCACCCTTCCATGCCCTCCCTGTCGACGCCGAGTCTCCCTCCTCCCAGACCTCGTGGTGAGTCATCCCTGTCCAGGTGCTGACCTGCAGATCCCAGAGGGCTCGGGCAGCAGCTGGAGCCCCATGTGCCCTGGTAGAAGTGTTCTCACCTTTGTCAACCAGGGTGGGAAGCCGAGGCTGCAGAGACAGGAAGCACCAAGGCCTGACGTGGGTCGCTCAGTCAGGGTAGGGCCTCCTTTCACCTTTCTGCTCCTCTGCCCTGAGTTCTGTCAGTGATGGAGCACTGCATACATGTGACTGACGTGAGTACACACAGCTTCCTGGGGAGGGCAGCTCGTCCTGGGCTGACACCGGATCATTGGTGGAGGTGTGGGCCTGACAGCTGCTTGGTGCCAGATCATGTGATCAGACCCAGTGGCTCCCCTAGCCATGTTGCCCACTCCTGCTCTTTTTGACATAAAGTGGGTCCCTTGGTCTGAGGGGATACCATGTGCAACCCTGTATTGGTGGTTTCAACATTGTTTAGAGATGCTGGCTGAGGTCCTGTAGGCAAAGTCATATCTGTAAAATGTGTCTATTCCCATCAGAATTAACTGCTGCCCCTTTCAGGGTAGAAGGGGCTCCACCGTCATCAGCTTTGTTGATGCTGCAACAAACAGGAGTGTTACCGAATCGGAACTCGTTCTGCGCGCCGCACGACAGCCAAGCTGTTAGGGGAAGGTATAGCGACTTTATTTGCAAAGGCCGGCAGACTGAGAGGATGGCAGCCTAATGTCTTGGATAGCCATCCTGCTCCAGTCAGAACAGGCTCATTTTATACACAAAACAAAACAAAGCAAAACAGGGGAGGGGGTGTGGTTGGCTGTGCAAACTTCTTGCTGCAGGCATTCTTTGTTCTTGCAGCCATCCATGTGGGTCAGGTCATGGTGTCCCTGTAAACCTCCAACAAAACAAAGATGATTCTCTAGTTTGCAACTTGCGATCTCTATGTAAGTGCAGAAAAGCTACCCTCCTTAAAGGTCAGAGCCCCCAGAATAGGCTCTCCGTAGATTTCAGGCTAAAGGCAACATTGTTTCACAAAAGGTGCAGAGCCCGGAAGACTAAGCCTGGAAAGCAGGCCGGGCACAGTGGTTAAAATTCAAGGAACAGATCAAATATAGAGTCAGATTTGTTCTCTATTACAGCGCTGGGAAAGCCTTTGCTAAATAAACATTCACTCTTAAAACACTGGCTGTGATCCAGCATCCAAGTAGCCTGGGAATCAGCAGTTCTAGACGTCTCTTGCGCTAGTCACCACGAGCTTCACTCACTGCATGTCACTTTTTTCAAGGAGAGAACAGTGCG